AATGTGTAAATAATAACATCATGATCCAAGGGTAAATAAATAAAATGAATAAAATACAATAATTTAAGAAGTATTTCTATAATGAGATTATAAAAACACTATTTTCAGATAACAATGTCGTTTTTACACAGATAATAGGTGCTTTAAAATTACCATGTGGTCTTATACTAATGCTGATATGTATGAGTTTCAGAATGATGAAAAGATAGAATGGTTGTCAGAGCAATTAAAAATTAAAAACAAAATAGTATATCTCCTGAATGGTACAGCCATTCACAAAATGGCATCATTTAAAACCCAAGACCAAGACCAGATTAAAAATATTTCAGGAAAGTCCATTTTTTTTTAGTATTGATACTTGGGATCTAGGTTTTGATACTATAGTTTTTGTATCGATTAGTATCTGTATATCGATTCTTTTGATAAACCATGAGTAAATGTTCTCAAGTTGAATTTCAGCAATGAGATGAAGTGGTGCTATACATCAGTTCCAGCTGCTTTCAGTCAGTTACAGCTCATGTATGAAAATCTACCCATCTAAAAAAGCATATTATAAAATGTAGACACACAAAGTAAACTTTTACTCTATGAAAATATAAATTAAAACTATTTGGCTGCTTGTTTTGTATGACTAAGATAAGTAAAAACAAATAAAACACCATTGAAATAAAGCTGCAGCTAACTGATGCAACAGACTGTTTATGTTACATCACTAATCACAGTTTGTCTGCACACATCCAGAGGCATACATCCAACCGACAGAGCTTTTAAAATGTCATTCAGTCATCGTGACAACACGGAGACCAGACGCTGTTGTTTACATAGCAACGTGTCTGTGTAATGTCTGCGGAGAGGCTCACCATTAGCCCAATACTCTTCAATATGAGAGAACAGCTCAGACAGGGGTTTGTGTAGGGATTTCAATCTCTGTAGCCCCTGCAATTGTTTTTTTTTTTTTTTTTTAACTGAAACGGTCAAACAAACATGAGGACACCGGCTGTAGATCTATCTGACATAACAAAAATCTGCTCTAGCTGCCATCATTCATGTATTATCCAGTGTTATGTCGCCTATAGCCGTCATCCTAACAGTTTCAGACATTCTGGAGGTGGGCCTACGTAGGTATGAATCAATGTTCTGCAGTAAATGTAGTTATTTCCGTGGCTACAGGATGTTTAAGGTCAAGTTACGGGTCAGCTCTGTGGAGATGCAAAACCACTCCCACAGAAAGTTAAGTTTAATGCCAGGGGACAGTTCAGACAAAGAACATCTCCATAGAGACGAGCAGAGGGAAGACACCTACAAGAAAACTTCCACTTTACAAGTTTAATATTTGAGCTCTGAATAGAAATATGTGGTAAAATAGAGCAGCATTTTGTTAAAGTAACATCATGTAACTTTCTGGAAGTGGCACATCAACTGCAGGACTCCAAGGAAATAAAAAGTACTACTTCAGAACATTCTCTATTATAAGATATAGCCAAAAGAACAACATCTTCATGGAGACAAGAAGGAAATGGCCACACACTTTTACTTAAGCCATTTTTCTTTTCTCTTTCTAAAAAAAAAAGTTAGATGCTGGGATTTAAACTAATATTTCTTATTATAATCAAACTTAATAATGTTATTAAATTTCCAAAGACATTGTGAGATGACACTGAGTTAAAAAGCTGATGTCCTCGTGTATTGATTTGGTACATAGTTACTCTTTAATGAGTGGTGCTGTCCCCAGAGCCCTTCCTTCAGGAGGACACTCAACCATTACTGTGTTAATTAGGACCAAATTAAATAATGAGAATCGAAAAATGCCGACGGCCATCAGCTCTCTGTGGCACGAAGTGGGCCAAATAAAACATTTAGAGACTTGATTAAATTTTAACAACCTCCAATTCACATGGATTTTTTAATTTGTACTTATTAGAATGTCACAGAGAGGATGGAGACGAGTGCAGACAATCAAGCATTAGTTTGTGAGAGCAGCAAATAAATAAACTAAAGAACAGCCAGAGCTTTGACTATGATGAAAAAAGCAAAGACAATGTTATCTTCACCACTCAGAGACTTGTTTAATTATTTCATGCAACCAGGGAGCCCTTTTTATGCTACATAGATTCTTTAACTCTTCCTCAGGATCTGGAGGAGGACTAAAAATAAAGTGGAGGGTCTGTCAAATGCTTTTCTCCATGGAGATGTTATCACGTTGGATTGTTTCACAGTATGACTTCATGGAGACCAAAGCAGACCAAGATGCACGTCAGATCTGTGGAGAAGCGACCCGGCTCACAGTCAGAATGTATTTTTTTGAGGTATTTTTGAGCTATAAAACCTCCTGTAGCTGAATAAATGTAAGTTAGAGCTGTTTAATGTCTAACATCTCCATAGAAACAAGCGGAAGGCAGACCCTCCACCAGAAAACATAGTGCAACTTTAACTCTTTGCACTTTTTCATGCGCTCTTTTCCTCCTTTTTTAATGATTACTAATATTATTACTGTTATTGATTTATCGTTATTATTATCGTTATCATGGTCCAAGTCCAGGTCTACCAGTCCAAAGGTTAGAGGCTCAAACTCCACTCCAACTAGTGCATATACTGTTGTTGTGTCCTTAGGCAGGATACTTCAACTGGTGTTTAAAGTGTAAATGAGGTCAGTGATGCTCAGAGGGGCTGATGGTGCAGCCTGGCAGATTTATCAGTCTACCCCTGGGCAGTTGTAGCTAATGTAACTTACCACCACTTAGTTACCACTTATGGGTTGAATGAATAATGACTTAAATGTCCTAAATTGCACAAAATTGACTCTTGTGAGATTAAAGCCATGTTAAAATGTTATTACCTCCTCAAAAACATACTCGGAGTTGTGTTTTGTTTCATTCACACATGTTTGAGTAACTCTTTATTATTAGTTGGTCTATATCTCCAAACCTCAAAATGCTCTGTTCCACCTTGTGATGTCATGAAGTGGTAGTTTTCAAGTGAACAGCTACTTTTAACTGACTGAGATTATTCAGATCATTCTGGTGAAAGTGTATGGAGTTTAAAACACTGTGGAGCACTTCTTGTATTACTACATGACATCACAAGGTGGTTTCAGTTTTAGAGAAGAACAGTGAAAATATGTAGCATGTGTGTGTGCAAATGAAACTAAACACAACCCCAGGTATGTTTGTGATGAGGCAACAACATGATAACATATGTGCCCTTTAAGTGTAGCTCTAAATGTCTTTTCATTCTCCAGCAGCACAATACAAGTGTCAAGTATTATTATTTTCTTTATGTATAGTGAGCAGAAAATGTGCTGATCAAATATGTAACTTAAATGAGAACAAAGGGATTCAGGAATGAACAAATAAAAAGATAATCCACTCTTTAGAACAGCACCAAGGCCCACACTTATGTCAAATATCTGAAGTACATAATCGTCAAATACAATTCTTATTTCATTCATTCTGACTGTGTGTGCTGCCTGAAGGCTCTGATAAAAGAAGTAGTTAGGTAAATCTGAGCGAAAAAAATAAAATTACGGTCACCTAGCAACCGCACTTTCACGATGCGAACAGTAGATTGAAATAGTGCCCTTAACAGAGCGCGAGCACAACAGGGGGTGGAAGGAGAAGAGGAGGTGTAATGACACAAGATTGGTGTGATTTGGTCCAATACATGACCTGCACTTGTCCTGTGGAGGAGTGTGTGAATATGTGAATGTGTGTGTGAGTGTGTGTTTGTGTGCGGAGTACCTGTATCACCCCACACAGAGACATCCAACTCTATGCCGATGATACGGTTATTTATTCATCCAAATTTATGGAATGGTATTACTACTGATATTGAGTCCTCTGTTCAACATGATTTCAATACTGTTCAGTTATGGCTACAGTCTAACAAATTACTACTTAATACATCTAAATAATATGTATGTTGTTTCAGAAACAAATTTGTCCTTTTTCTGTTAATGAAATAAATGTAACATTTACTGATTCATCACCAATTATAGCTGTTGAAAAATTTGTATATGTTAAGGCTTAACCCCTCACTCTCACTCAGCACCCACATGCAAACAATTACTAACAACATTTCTTTACTGCTTAAAAGTACTTTACCAGTCCATCAATTGTTTTAGGAAAAAGATTATATCAAAACTATTTCTTCCCATCTTAGATTACTGTGATATCATTTATCAAAATACCACAACTTCCATCCTCCAACCATTCAATGTTATGTATATCAGTGTGTGCAGGTTTATTCTCCACTGTCCCTTCAGAGCTCACCACTCTGTGATGTACCACCTACTGTCCTGGTGATGACATCTTCACTGGTTATTATTTTTCTTTAAATGCATCAATCTCCTTGAACCGCCACCTGAACGTGGGTGAGGGGTTTGAGTGCCCGAATGATCCCAGGAGCCATGTTGTCACCCCTGGTAGAGTCACCCAAAGCAAACGGGTCCTGGAGGACGGGTCAGATGGTTCAGAAGCCCTTATGATGAACATAAAAACAAAGCCAGTCACGTCGTCGGATTGACGTTACCGGGGCCCAACCCTGGAGCCAGGTCTGGGGTGCGTGCTCGACATTGAGCGTCTAGTGGCCGGGCCTTCCCCCGCATGTCCAGAGCATTGATGCCTGAACACTCAAGATGCACTGCATCAACCACGCTGATGCCTGAAGATGCGCCGCAAAAACACAGGACCCTAGACACGCGTCCACATAGACTTTAGACTCTATAATAGTTTTTGATCATCTTGTTGAATTTTGTTGTTGATCTTGTATTTTGTGACTATATTTGAACTCTGTCTTAGTTTTTATTCAGATTTGACTTATTCTGTGTCTAACAGTCATGTGTGAGTGAATGTGTATGTACAGTTGTGTTGATTTTGTTGTTTTGTTTTTTCTATGTTTATTTTAATTTATGTAGCGTCCTGTGTGCCCTTCTGTATCTGGAGTGTGAGTGCGTGTGTATATGTGTGAGTACGTGAGCGTCAGTGTGTGTGTGTGTGTAGTACCTGTATCTCCCCACACAGGGAGGTACTCGTCCTGTTGGATGTCCAGCATGATCTCTAGTCCGTTCCCAGTGCCTCCCTTCATGGTGGTGCGCAGAGAGCGGCCCTCCTCCGCCGCGTTAAACATGTAACACTTCCCATATCTGGTGAACACCTGACAAACACAAGAGACACAAAGAGTTTGGTTATAAAAAGGTGATCAATAGGCAGCACATTTAAAGGACTCAAAATGCAATGCACTGGATTTACAGCGCGCTAAAATATGTATGCCTCACTGTTTGGAAGACATAATAAACCCTTATGAAAATCAGCACTGTATAACATAGTCCAGTATCACCTTATATGTGGATAGTCCTGACCAAGCTAAAAGCAGGACTGGCAAAATGGAGCGACTGTGAACATGCTGCTGTTTTACTGTAATTGAGGTTAGAGCACCTTCCCTGCTGCTGTTTGTTTAAATGAGCAGTTTCATTTTGTTTACGATCACAGGAGGTCATGAAGTTGTTTTAAGCTATAGTCCAACATATAAAAACTGCAACAAGCTGTGTCTGATATAGAGTTATTATAGCTACGACTAAGTTTACTTTACATGAACACCAACATCTGACATGAGTATAAGGCATTAGAAAGAGAAATACTTTATTGCTGTAATCTCCAAACAATCAAATATCGCACTAAAGCCAGTTGTTTCTACTGGTTTATTAGCAACTGTGTTTTTATAAACTCTGAGCTCATATTTAAAGGTGCAATGTGTAACTTTTCCGAAGAGAGCCTAGAACCTGTTTGTTTCCAGGAAGATGTTAATGCTTTGGTTTAAATTGTCCACAGTATGGCATTAAAATAATCTGTCTTCCAGTTATTCAACTACAGGCGTTATTTATTGCTCAAAAATATCTTAAAATACATGAATTCTTACTGAGAGTGGGGTCGTCTCTCCACAAATCTAACCTGTAATTTGACGCAGTGCACCTTTAACATGAAGTAAACCAAAATTTATAAGTAAAAAGTAAAATAAACTGATGCACACGAGATGTCTTTTGTCCGTGTTTGTTTCCTATAAATATATACAATTTTGACACAAATTCAGTTCTCAAATTGGAGAATCACACCCTTTAATTCACTCAGATCCATTTTCTCACAATGACTTTTAAAGGACAAAATGTTCTCTTGCTGCAGGTGCCATAATGAAGATATACACTGTATTATTTAACCATGTTCAAATGAAATGTCTTATCTTTTGGTGATGAAAATAATAATTTACTATACAGCATGAATGATGGAACACAAAGAACAGTGATTTCACCCATGCGTTCCATTGTTCCAGGCATAAAGACTGACACCATTACAGCTCATCTAATGTTTCTTCTTTTGTGAGGGAATTCAGGCTGCACTTACTGCATTTAGACTGAGGATTGAGCCAAAAGAGTGAGTTTTTAAGACGTAAATATCACTGATTCACTCCTCTGGATTCAGGACAATGCTTAAACCAGGGGACAGGGGTCAGTGTAGAGCGAGGGTTATACATAAATATACTTCACTAGCTCGGACCACGCCACAACAAATACGAATACGAGAGAGCTGACACGGCGGTGATGTCGGGATGGCTGTATAAATCGGGCTTCTGGGTAACTGAAGGTGTGGTTGAGATAAGATGTGGTTGGGCGGAGAGGAGGTTGAGTCATTGTCCAGCTCCTGAATCTCAGTTAATCATATCAACTCTGTATCTTTAAAAGGAGTTGAGTTCTTTTTTATAGTCTAATTTCATATGTATGTCTCACTTTGAAAATATAGTGCAAGTGAACCCAAATATCATCCAGCTGCGGACACAAATGGGCGTTCTCGTGCTATGGGTGTTCCTGTGTGGGTGGGGCTCCGTTTCGCTGAGCTTTCGATAGATAGTCAAGTTTTCTCAAAACTAACATCTAGTCATAGAGAAAACGTTAGCATTCTAAGCCAAATGCATAACATGTGTCCAGTTACGTCTTAATCAGCTCTGCTTGTGTACAAGTCTCTCCATGGCCGAGCACTGAAGTCCATCTGTGACATGTTAGTGTCATATGAACCATCTCGCACTCTGAGGAGCTCAGGGACCGGCCTCCTGCAGGTGCCCAGAGTCAGGACTAAACACGCGGAGTCAGCGTTTCAGGTTCACGCAGCTAAAACCTGGAACAGTCTTCCTGAAAATGTGAGAAAGGCCTCTTCTTTGACGCTGTTTAAATCCAGGCTCAAGATGGTTCCGTTTCACTGTGCATATGACTGAAAGGTTTTCATTCCACACTTTTCTCTCTAATTTATGTAATTAATGTGTCTTTCTCTTTTTTAATTTAAATCTTGAATTTTATGATGATTATTTATGTTTTGATTTGTTTCTATTGTGATTTTAATGTAGGCCTATTTGTTATTCTGTAAATCATTTTGAATTACTTTGTGTACTAAACTTGCCTCGCCTTAATCAACTTCACTTATGTTTAGGACCTAGCACAGGCAGACCTCAACTAGCACCGAACTCACTTGGTAAAGTAAACATCCTTACTGTCGAGCGGCTATCGAAGGTTCAGCCTAATACATTTTAATATAATCTAGAGCAGAGGTGGGCAAACTTTTTGGCTCGCGGGCCACATAGGGTCCTGAAATTTGACTGAAGGGCCAGACAGAAGACAGGACATGATGCGTTAAAAACTCAGTTTCATTATGTTCATACTTTTGTAGGACCTAGGACACACACTATACACTGTAACTTTGTTACATATGACTCCAAACATGAAAGTGAATAGACCTGTTCCACTACACACTGTAGGTGACTAAGTATTGTAAGGTCACCATTCTCAACTCCAACTGAACAGCTCTAGAAACAGCTCACACCATTCAACTCTGCATATACACACCCACAAGTGCAGTGAAACCAGACTCTATGACATTCTATACATTAAGTATCACAACATAGAGTCTATGAATTTCCATGCTTAATTTTTACCAACCTAAAATGGCAGCAGTGCAGCCTTATATCTTGAACACCACTACTTCAGTCATGGTCCGAATAACTCCTGTAAGAACACTTTCCCATAAAGCATTGGGGCCAACATAATACGCCGCACCTCAATGTATATATAGTGCGCCATCTACTGGGAAATGCCGGAAATGCAGGAAAAATAAAACATCAACAAGGTTTATTATTGTAATTTATTCCAGTTCGGCGGGCCGGATTGAAAGGTTTAAAGGGCCACATACGGCCCCTGGGCCGTAGTTTGCCCACCCCTGGTCTAGAGACAGAAAGAGGAGGGGAAAGAGAGAAAGGAATAGAGAGTGCGGGGGCAAGGAGCGATATGGCTATAACACTTTACATAGACTGTATGTATTTAGGCTACCACGTACCATCATTTCAGGGAGGCTCCACGGTGTTGGCTATTTATTTCAACAAAATTAATTGAGAAGTGTTCTTATGTTGTCTGTATCACTGATATAATTGCTGTTTTGTCTTAATTGTATCTGAATTGTATCCAAATCCGACACTGACATTAGCAACATGCATTCTGTAGTAGCTAATCTCATGTTATCTTGTATATCAACAGCTAGCCAGAAGAAAGCTACGTGTTAAACTGTTTAGCACCAAAACAAAGCATCACATCCACCCGTGTTCTATGGCTGCTTTTTCTAGCAAACATGATTACCTCCAACTTAACAATGTATTGTAGTAATACTTGTTACATCATAAAATAATGGACAAAAACTTTGCTGCAAACTATAGTCTGTAACTACAAACAGTATAACACGTAGCTTTCTTCTGGCTAGCTGTTAATATATGAGATAACATGAGATTTGATACTTCCGAATGCGTGAAGCTAATGTTAGTATTGGATTCTGATACAATTGAGACGAAACTGCAGCTATATCAGTGACACAGCCAACTTAAGAACATTTCTCAATTAATGTTTTCGAAATAAATAGCCAACTTACTGACATCATGGTCTTTCATCGAAGACAAAGCTACACAACACTGACAGTCAAAGCTGCTCCACTGACATACGAAAAATTGGCAAATGACGTTACACCCAGTATCCCTTGTAAAACGCCGCTACTAGGAATGCCCAATGGGTGTTCTTGTATCATGCCCAGACCTCAGCTGGAACCTTCTCAATGAACCGAATAAACAGCAAACATGAGTATTAAGGCCATTTTTTTCAAACTGTGGGTGAGATTTTTATTCATTTTGTGCTACTACTCTTCTCTCCAATTTATGTCTCTCTTTTTTTATTTTAATCTTCATGATTATTTATGTTTTGATTTGTTTTTATTATGATTTTAATGTATTTCTTATTCTGTAAAGCACTTTGAATTACTTTGTGTACGAATTGTGCTATACAAATAAACTTGCCTTGCCTTGCCTTGCCTACTATTACTGGCCCCGCCACTTCCACGGGTCCATGACAGAAAAGGTTGGGGACTGTTGGTGTAGAAGGTTGGAGCCTGGAGGTCAGGCCGTGAAGACAAGGGGTAAAGCAACATGGCATGATTGGCATTCTATACAGATACTATTTTCAATATCCAAAGGAACAACACAGTAGGCCACCAAAACGAAGCATCACCTCCAGGCCAAGTAAGAATCAGGTTTGTGGAGGTGCAAGCCTGTTAACAGTAAGGAAACATTTTTCTACATTAGGTATATATTTCCAAACTAGACTAGGCAAGTGCTTTTCCCTCATCCAAACCACAGACTGCATATATAAATGGACACAGCGTTTTCATGGGGGCACTTCTGGCTCCATTGACTCTGTTTCCAATTGACTTTACATTGGAAAATTGTCACCCCCTCTCTCTCTGTAACTGCTGCAGTGAGCCTCGTCATTTTGGTTTTAAAATGGCCATGGCTCTACATGATGCTGATGTGTTTATTTTGCTGTTTTTTACATAAATAAATTCCTGTTTCCTAATATGAACCTGGTTTCAAATTCACTCCTATTACTGCTAGCCTCATGAGCTTCATTTGACTGGAGATGGACGCTATGTCATCTTAGTCCACCTTAGTCCACAGTGTATGATCCAAACACACTCTCATTACAAGTTATCAGAAGTGAAGTGCAGTTAGGAGTCCAAAGAAACAGCAGTGTGCGCTAGAGGGAGTAGGGATCGAACCAACAAACTTTGGATCCAATGAGC